CCAGCCCTGGCTGGTCATTAACTTGCGTATTGGGGCCGCAGCAGACTGCTGGTGCTGCTGTGGCAGCAGCACCAGCAGCAGCCTGCCTGCTGCCTGATTCAGTCAAGCCAGCGGTGCAGCGAGGCGTGCAGAATTCGCGCGGTTTGGTACCTCCTGAGGCTGAGCGCGTTCAGACCCGGTGACCGGAGTGATGGTTCGATGGAGCTCGCCGCCGAGCTCCATCGAACCATCCATGCACCATGGCCGGACGGCGGCGGCGTGAGGTGGCGAGAGCGGAGAGATGTACCGCAAGACGGCGGAGCGTGTTACAAACTAGAGATGTCTAGTAAGACAAGAAGAACACGGCGACGATTTTCACAAAACGTCAGATCTGCGCCACCCTGGGCTGGACCTAGTCTGGCGGCGGCGCGGCGTGCACGCGCGTACACAGACTCAGACGACAGAGTCTCAGAGACACACAGTCTCACAGAGCGCGAGCTGTGGGGGGGGGTCCGGGGAGACAGAGTGCACCCACACACACACATATCTCTGAGAGCGGTCAAGACAGCGGCACTGCAGCACCGCACACGTCACCGGGAAAAGAAAACGGAGACACGCAAACACAGGCAGTTCCTACATACATACACACAGGCAGTGCTGGCCTCGCTCGTGGCGTGGGGCTCTCGCGGCAGTACACGAGGCCGCGAGAGACCATCCCGCATCCGGGGAAGATGCGGAGAGATCAGCATGCTACAGGTCCGCGCGGGATAGAGCATGGAGCGGCGGCGACTACTATACTGGCCATGGGCCTCAGGGCTCCAGGGGATCTTGGAACATGCAACATGGTCCATGTGGATGCGGGCGCCGCAGGGGCGCAACCCGGGCGGAAGGGGGCGGCGGAGGTTAGGCGGGCGAGGAAGCGAACGTGCCACGCCTTAGCGGAGCATGCCATGAAAGTTGCTCAAAGTGCCGACTCCGAGGGCACGAAACGCAGAGACTCGACGGACAAGTCGTCCGGCATGTCGGGATCGGGGTAGGGGTCCAGCACCGCGCCGGCCCCGCCTCCTCCTCCCGTAGTCGCAGGAGGATTGGCGCGAGGGGGCCGGGGGGGTCGCAGGCGGCTCGCGCGAACGAGGCTTCGGGCTAGCGGGGCTCGGCGCTGAGCCGCCGCCGCTCTCTCCGACTTGCCCTCGAGAGGAGGCGTCGCCGTCGAGGACGTCGAGGGATGCGGTGGTGTGGCGAAGCTGCTTGCCGATCCGTCCAGCCCCAAGCGGCGGGGGTGCTGGCGCGTGTGTGCAACGTGCCCGTCCGCGAGCCGCCGTCGCCGGGCTGATCATGCGTCGCCGCGCGCGCGGGCCGCGCCCACCGACCTCTGAAACCCACCATGCAAGAGAGCGCGAATGCAGCGATGTGTATACGCTGGCTGAACTCGCGGGGTGTCTCGGCACCCTTTATTCACGTGCATATGCTACAGTCATCAAATTTCTCCCAGTCCTTAGCCCACCACGCAGCCCCACTCCATCTCACTCCCCCCGTCCCCTCACGCATTTTCCATCACCATACCCTTCCCCGCTGCTTCCCCGTCCCCTTCCTCCATGCCCACTGAACGCGCCCACGCTCGCGTATGCCCATTGGAGTGCACAGCCCTGCCAAGCATGTCAACCCACCCACTCATCACAAGACCCCCCCCCCCCATTGCCGCGCAGGAGCGCACACAACTTCACCCTGCCCTTGTCCCATTCCACTTGACACCAGAGGGGGCGCTCGAGCGATGGCGCGAGGGCCCTTGAGCCCGTGCCGACTGGCCCGCGTCCGCGTGCACACCGTCTCCCTCCTCTCCGCCACTCTAGTACTCCTCGCCGCCCTCCTCGTCGTACTCTCCCTCCTCCTCCGCCGAGGCGTCCTGATACTGCTGGTACTCGGAGACGAGGTCGTTCATGTTGGACTCGGCCTCGGTGAACTCCATCTCGTCCATGCCCTCGCCGGTGTACCAGTGGAGGAAGGCCTTGCGGCGGAACATGGCGGTGAACTGCTCGGCGACGCGCTTCATCACCTCCTGCATGCAGGTCGAGTTGCCCATGAAGCCGACCGACATCTTGAGGCCCTTGGGCGGGATGTCGCAGATGGCGCACTTCATGTTGTTGGGGATCCACTCGACAAAGTAGGACGAGTTCTTGTTCTGCACGTTGAGCATCTGCTCGTCCACCTCCTTGGTCGACATGCGGCCGCGGAAGAGCGCGGTGCACGTGAGGTAGCGGCCGTGGCGCGGGTCGGCGGCCGCCATCATGTTCTTGGCGTCAAACATCTGCTGCGTCAGCTCCGGGACGGTGAGCGAGCGGTACTGCTGCGAGCCGCGCGAGGTGAGCGGCGCGAAGCCGACCATGAAGAAGTGCAGACGCGGGAAGGGGATCATGTTGACGGCGAGCTTGCGCAGGTCGCAGTTGAGCTGGCCGGGGAAGCGGAGGCAGCAGGTCGACGCCGACATGACGGCGGCGACGAGGTGGTTGAGGTCGCCAAAGGTGGGGGTGGTGAGCTTCAGCGTGCGGAAACAGATGTCGTACAGCGCCTCGTTGTCGATCAGCAGCGACTCGTCCGAGTTCTCGACCAGCTGGTGGATGGAGAGGACGCAGTTGTACGGCTCGACGACCGTGTCGGACACCTTGGGCGAGGGGAAGACCGAGTAGGAGCACATGACGCGGTCGGGGTACTCCTCGCGGATCTTGGAGATGAGGAGGGTGCCCATGCCCGAGCCGGTGCCACCGCCCAGCGAGTGCGACAGCGTGAAGCCCTGCAGGCAGTCGCAGCCCTCGGCCTCCTTGCGGACGACGTCGAGCACGGCGTCAATCAGCTCGGCGCCCTCGGTGTAGTGGCCCTTCGCCCAGTTGTTGCCGGCGCCCGACTGGCCAAAGACGAAGTTGTCCGGGCGGAAGATCTGGCCAAAGGGGCCCGACCGCACCGAGTCCATGGTGCCCGGCTCGAGGTCCATGAGCACGGCGCGCGGGACGTACCGGCCGCCCGTCGCCTCGTTGTAGTAGACGTTGATGCGCTCGAGCTGGAGGTCGGAGTCGCCGTGGTAGGTGCCGGTGGGATCGATGCCGTGCTCGTCCGAGACAACCTCCCAGAACTTGGCGCCTGGCAGTGGAGAGGGACGGGCGGTGGTGAGGGACGAGCGCCCGAGCTGCGCGGCGCAAGAAGGGAGGGAAGAGAGGGGGGAGGGGGGATAGAGGCGGTGAGTGGGGCGCGGCGGCGAGGGTGAGCAGCGTCGCACCGATCTGGTTGCCGCACTGGCCACCCTGGATGGAGACGATCTCACGCATGGCTGAGTTGGGGAACGCTGGTGTAACGTTTTCGGCCGACGAATCCGTTTCTGGTCCGTTTTGAAACGCTCCGAGATTCACGTTTGTGTCTCTCCCGTCGTTTGACAGGGTTAAAAGGAAGGGCACAGGCTCAATTAATGAACTAGCTGAGGGCGCCCGAAAGCATCGCCGAAGAAAGAAAACAGAGCACCCAAGGGAGGGATGGGAGGACGGCACGCCGCCACCACACAGGGATTTTAATAAAGCATCGCCGGAGCACTAGTCCTTGCTGGAAATTCTTTTCTCCGCGATGTCCACCCCACCGCGCCGCCGCTCGCGCCGCCTCGCCCCCGCCGCCACCGCCGCTCTCTCGCCGAGCACGCCGCCGCCCGCCCGCCTCCTCGACCTCCCCACGGAGCTCCTCGTGCGCGCCCTCTCTCGCTGCGACCCCGCCGACATCGCTCGCGTCGCGGCCGTCTCGCTGCTCTTCCACGCCTCGCTCGCAGTAGAGGGCATCTGCTTGTGGGCGCAAGAGCGCGGCTTCGAGCTGCCGGCGCAGCCAGAGGGCGAGAGCTGCGCCGTGCGTTGGCTGTGCTTCGCTGCGCTGCTGCGCGAGGCCAACCCGCCGGCGAGGGTGGCGGCAGGCTCTCAGCACAGCGTCTTCATCGACGGCGTGGGGCGGCTCTCGTCGTGCGGCACGGCGCCGGATTACGCCCAAGGGCTGCTCGGGCACGGCGAGGGCGTGGCGCAGCTCAACACGCCGACCCGCGTCCCCTCTCTGGGCGGCGAGCGCGCCGTGACTGTGTCAGCTGGCTTTGGCCACAGCCTCGCCCTCGCCGCCGACGGTGCCGTCTGGAGCTGGGGCGGTGGATTCTTTGGCAAGCTGGGCCACGGCGACGGGCAGCATCAGTGGCAACCAAAGAAGGTCGAGGCCTTTGCTGGCCAGCGCGTCGTCGCTGTGTCGGCTGGACGCAGGCACAGCCTCGCCATCACCGCCGACGGGGCTGTCTGGAGCTGGGGTTGGGGAGCCTTTGGCCGGTTGGGCCACGGCGACCAGCAGAGCCAGCTGCTGCCGAAGCAGATCGAGGCCTTTGCTGGCCAGCGCGTCGTCTCGGTGTCGGCTGGAGAGGACCACGGCCTCGCCATCACCGCCGGCGGCAGCGTCTGGAGCTGGGGTTGGGCAGCCTTTGGCCGGTTGGGCCACAGCGACCAGCAGGACCAGCTGCTGCCCAAGAAGATCGAGGCCTTTGCTGGCCAGCGCGTCATCGCGGTGTCGGCGGGATACTTTCACAGCCTTGCCCTCACCGCCGACGGCGCCGTCTGGAGCTGGGGCAATGGAGGCCAAGGCCGGCTGGGCCACGGCGACGAGCAGCGCCAGCTGCTGCCCAAGAAGGTCGAGGCCTTTGCTGGGCGGCGCGTCGTCGCTGTGTCGGCTGGAGAGTACCACTGTCTCTCCATCACCGCCGACGGCAATGTCTTTACCTGGGGCAAGGGCGGCCACGGCTGCCTAGGCCACGGAGAGGACCTGTCGAACCAGCTGCTGCCCAAGAAGGTTGAGTAGAGGTGGGCGCACACACATGTACATACTAGAGCAGTCTGAGCTCTGACCTCGGCGCTCGGGGCTGTGTAGGATTACACACCGTCTATACGCACGGCTCTCCGCCGCCGGTTCGGGCCGCGCGCTACTGACCTACTGTATGCTCGAAAGCTCAGCAAAATGTACACAGAAGTGAGAATTAGAGAAAGTAGACAGCAGCCCTTGTCTCCCCGCACCCGCACTAATAAGACAGTTTGCCGCGGCCCCCGCGCGAAGCGCGAACCTCTTCGTGCGCGGCGGCGCACGCGCGCGCGGCGCCCATCAGAGGTAGGAGAGGAGAGCGGGCACCGGCGGTCGCACGCCTGTGCGCCCGGCCGGCAACTCGCGCTCGCCCGCCGCGAGGGCCGAGTCGAGCGCCGACGCGAGCGCGTCTGCATCCTCGTCGGAGAAGCACATCGGCGGCTTGATCTTGAGGACGTTGCGGTGCGGCCTACGGACATGTCTCGGACATGTCGCGAGGACGTGTCCTGGACATGCTTGATCTTGAGGACGTTGCGGTGCGGCCCGTCGGTCGAGACGAGGACGCGCTCGGCGCGCATCCTGCCCATCGCGAAGGCGGCGAGCTCGGGGTCGGGCTCGCGCGTGCCGCGGTCCCTGACTAGCTCGACGCCGAGCAGCAGGCCACGCCCTCGCACGTCGCCGACCGCGCCGCGCGAGTCGCCGACTTCGCGGAGGCGCGAGAGGGTGTGCGCGCCCACGCGGCGGGCGCTCTCCTGCAGCCGCTCCTCCTCGAGGATGGCGAGTACCTGAGAAGAGAGTCGGGGCAGGCGGTGGGGGGAGGGAGAGGGAGGGAGGGAGGGAGGGTGAGGGAGCAGGGAGAGGGGAGAGGGAGGGGGAGGGGTGAGGGAGAGGGAGGGAGGGAGAGGGGGGGAGGGAGAGCAGGGGCACGGCAGGGCGAGCACCTCGAGCCCGACGGCGCACGCGACGGTGTTGCCTCCGAACGTGTTGAAGTACTCGGAGGAGCGGAAGGCGTCGGCCACCTCGCCCGTCGTCACAACCGCGGCGAGCGGGAACCCGTTCCCCATCGGCTTGCCCATCGTTACGATGTCGGGGACGACGCCGTGCGACTCGAACGCCCAAAACGAAGACCCGCTCCGCCCGAAGCCGGTCTGGACCTCGTCGGCGATGGCGAGGCCGCCGGCGGCGCGCGTCTGCTCGTACATGCGTCCCAGGTAGCCCCGCGGCAGCTGCACCTGCCCGCCGCAGCACATGACAGACTCGACGAGGAAGGCGGCCGGGGCAGGCCCAGCCCGCAGCACTTCGGCATACTGGGCGGCAGCGGCCGAAGTCGCCTGGAGAGGCCAAGACGGTCCGAGATGGCCCCGAGATGGCCCCGAGATGGCCCCGAATGGCCCCGAGATGGCCCCGAGATGGCCCCGAGGCCGCCTGCTCGTCCGAGAGGCCAAGGCGGTAGACGTCAGGCTGCGAGAGCACCGCCGTGCCGCCGCTCGCCTCCGCCTCGGCGTACTTTGAGTACGGAGAGACGGCGAGAGTCGCCACCGAGTGTCCGTGGTACGCGCCGTCCACGCAAACCATCTGCTGCCGCCCCGTCCGCTTGCGCGCGAGCCGGATCGCGAGGTCGTTGGCCTCGGTGCCCGAGTTGACGAAGAAGACGGTGTCGAGCGGCGCGGGCAGCGTCGCCGTCAGCGCCGCCGCCAGCCGGGCGATGTTGTCGTGCACGTACCGGCTGTTTGTGTTGAGCGTCTCGAGCTGCCTCGTCGCGGCTGCAACGACGCGCGGGTGGCAGTGGCCGACGTGCGCGACGTTGTTGACGCAGTCGAGGTGTGCCGCGCCGTCGGTGTCGTACAGGTATGCGCCGCGGCCGCGGGTCAGGTGCAGCGGCCCGGCCTCGCTGCCGTCATAGTGCATTTTCTGCGACGGAGCGAGGAACCTTTTTCGGAGGGCGAGGTTCTCGTCCGTGGTGAGCGGCCCGGCCGCAGCCGCCGGAGGCGCGGTGGGGGCGGCGGCGGCGGCTGTGCTGTGTGCCCGGGCGCCGCACCGCCGGAGGGCGGCGCAAGAGGCAGACCGCCGCAGGCGCATGCCGGCGCGTCGTTTTCGGTTTCTTTAATATCTCTCAGAACGCAAGACGCATGGGAAATTCTTTTCTCGCGATGTCCGAACCGCCGCGCCGCCACTCGCGCCGCCTCGCCTCCGCCACCACCGCCGCTCCCTCGCCGAACACGCCGTCGCCCGCCCGCCTCCTCGACCTCCCGACGGAGCTCCTCGTGCGAGCCCTCTCTCGCTGCGACCCCGCCGACATCGCTCGCGTCGCGGCCGTCTCGCTGCTCTTCCACGCCTCGCTTGCGCTGGAGGCCATCCGCCTGTGGGCGCAAGAGCGCGGCTTCGAGCTGCCGGCGCAGCCAGAGGGCGAGAGCTGCGCCGTGCGGTGGCTGTGCTTCGCTGCGCTGCTGCGCGAGGCCAACCCGCCGGCGAGGGTGGCGGCAGGCCAGTCTCACAGCGTCTTCATCGACGGCGAGGGGCGGCTCTCGTCGTGCGGCACGGCGCCGGATTACGCCCCAGGGCTGCTCGGCCACGGCGAGGGCGTGACGCAGCTCAACACGCCGACCCGCCTCCCCTCTCTGGGCGGCGAGCGCGCCGTGACTGTGTCAGCTGGCTTTGGTCACAGCCTCGCCCTCCGTCTGGAGCTGGGGCGGTGGAGCCTTTGGCCGGTTGGGCCACGGCGACCAGCAGAACCAGCTACTGCCCAAGAAGATCGAGGCCTTTGCTGGGCAGCGCGTCGTCGCTGTGTCGGCTGGAGTTCTGCACAGCCTCGCCCTCACCGCCGACGGAGCTGTCCGGAGCTGGGGCTCTGGAGCCTTTGGCTGCTTGGGCCACGGCGACGAGCAGGACCAGCTGCTGCCGAAGAAGGTCGAGGCGTTGGCTAACCTCGCCCTCACCGCCGGCGGTGCTGTCTGGAGCTGGGGCGGTGGAGCCTTGGGCCGGTTGGGCCACGGCGACCAGCAGAATCAGCTGCTGCCCAAGAAGGTCGAGGCCTTTGCTGGCCAGCGCGTCGTCGCTGTGTCGGCTGGACGCAGCCACAGCCTCGCCATCACCGCCGACGGGGCTGTCTGGAGCTGGGGTTGGGGAGCCTTTGGCCGGTTGGGCCACGGCGACGATGAGCAGAACCAGCTGCTGCCGAAGAAGGTCGAGGCGTTGGCTGGCCAGTGCGTCGTCATCGCTGTGTCAGGTGGAGGCCACCACAGCCTCGCCCTCACCGCCGGCGGCAGCGTCTGGAGCTGGGGCCGTGGAGCCGTTGGCCAGCTGGGCCACGGCGACGGGCAGAGCCAGCTGCTGCCGAAGAAGGTCGAGGCCTTTGCTGTCCAGCAGCGCGCCGCAGCCAACCTGCTGCAGTTTCACATCTACGTGCCTGCCCATCGCTGCCACCACGGCCACACAGCCCCGCCCGCATCCACCACCACCTGCTTGCGCGCGTCGCTGCCGAGAGCCATGTTCCGCAGCGCGCAACAGCCGGTCCGCTGCAGATCCACATCAGCAGCATGTTCGCCCATCGCCGCCACCACAGCCACAGCCCCACCCACATCCACCACCACCTGCATGCCCGCGTCGCTGCCGAAAGCCAGCCATTGCAGCTTCACGCAGCCATTCCGCTGCAGCGCCACATCTGCAGAGTGGCCGATCATGTCGGCCACGACAGCGGCCACGACAGCAGAAACGCCCGCGACCTTCGCTGCCATTGCGACTGTGGACACCAGACTTTCGCTCCCCCCACCGGGCGCAACTCTGCACGGAATTCTTTTTTCCAGCGGGTGCGCGCCGAGCGTAGCCTCAGCCGCATGGCTGCATGTCGCAGTGGAGCCTCGAGGGTGACAGCACGCTCGAAGGCGACATCACGATCGATTTGCCGTGCACGGAGGGTGCGGCCAGCGCTTTCGATCTCGGCCGCGCGCGACTGTTTGGCGCTTACGGCAAGGCATTTGCTCACGGCACCGTCAGCCGCGTCCAGTGCAGTCTAACGGTGGAGGCGGGCTGTCTTCGCGTGGAGTCGCGGGGTCAGAACCCAACTGGCATACGTCCGGCTGGCGGCGCGTGGAGACTGCTTCAGCAGCGCAGTGCGCTCAACGATGGTGACGAGCTGGCACTCGACAAGATGCGCAAGCCCGGCACCGTGTTCACCGTGCGCAAGCGCCCTCGAGGGGAGCCGGAGGTCTGCAGCAGCGCCCCGGTCCCGGCCACGCCCGCGGTTGCCGCCGTGGCCGCGCCGCCACTCACGCCGCATCACGCAACGATTTGCTCGTGGAATGCAGCGACGGTTGCGCCAAAGTCTGGCAGCAGCCCGGACAAGCTGCGCATGATGCTACGCGAGCTTCGCTTCCAGCCGGACATTCTTTGCCTGCAGGAGACGAAGTTCTGCGACCGCGTTGCGGAGAGCCGGGCGAAGGAAGCCACGCCCGAGTACGATTGGCACATCCCGGCTGGCAGCTACTATGAGAGCCCAGGCCGTGGCGTCGCGCTGCTCGTCAAGAAGGGGAGCAAGCTCGCCGGAGGCCGGCTTCTCAAGCTGCTGTGGGACGATGAGCACCGGGTGACTGCGTATGAGACGAAGTTTGGTCTCGTGGTGGGTACCTACATGCCGACCGTCTCTAGCAGGCAAGGCCGGCTGCAGAAGCGACTCGACTACGAGGACCGCCTCGCCTCCCTCCTTTCCGAGCACAAGGATCGGCTCCTCGCGGTCGTCGGAGACATGAACGTGGCGCCGTCCGAGCTGGACTGCTCTACCCCTTGGGGCAAGTTCTTTCTGGCCGGGGAGGACGGCACCGGCGCCTGGGAGGAGCGCGCGGTGCAGCTGCGCGGTGCGCACTGCAAGCTCCTCAAGCATGGCGGCCTCGTCGATGCCTGGCGCTACCACAACCCGCGCAGGAAGGAATTCACCAGTTTTCAGGACCAAGGCCGGCACAGATCGCGGAATGGATGGTGCGCGCGCGTCGATCTCGTCCTCGTGCCCGAGCGGCAGGTGGCTGATGTCCGCCCAATCATATACTCGGAGATAACAGCGCACGCCGCAGGCCGCCAGAGCGACCATGTGCCGGTGGGATTGCAACTCGCGCTGCCTCTCGGCTAG